AATTCTTTTACAAAAAAAAAAAAAGAAAAGAAAAATAACACATACACAGAAAGAGAGAGAGAGAGAGAGAGAGACAATTTCCAGGTATATCAAATTAAATATATTTCATGTCTTGATTAATTCATACAGGTAACTATTGACTAAACGAATTGAAATTTTTTTTTTTTACATCTTTATGAAAGTTTTCATTTTTTTTTTCTAGACTTAACACTTCTACTTCAACTTTTAATATGTTAAAGCTTAACCTTACGCAAACAAAATTTATCCTCTCTTTCAACTCTGCCGCTTTCAATTGCTTAAAGTAAATTTGTCAACAAATTAGAAAAATTTTCAAAGTAAATTGAAAAATGAAAAAAAATGTATTATTAGCATAAGAATTTAATGAGGAATAAGATAATACGAATTGTCAACAAAAAGTTTATTTACATCTTTTTTTTTAAAAAACCATTTCTCTATCGAAGTAATAAATTTGATATTTTATCAAAAGTTCAGATTAAAAATTAAGTAAACTTGACTGAGACCTAAAATTTATCAAATGAAATTACTGAAGTAAATGTATTATGGAGAATTGTAAAAAAGGAAATACATGGGTTTGGAAATTGGAGGGAAAGTGAGAAGATGGAAGAGGTAAATGTAAGGACGTGGAAGAGGTAAAGGTAGGAAGTGGAAGAGGCAAAGGTAAGGAGGTGGAAGAGGTAAAGGTGAGGAAGTGGAAGAGGTAAAGGTGAGGAAGTGGAAGAGGTAAAGGTGAGGGAGTGGAAGAGGTAAAGGTAAGGACGTGGAAGAGGTAAAGGTGAGGAAGTGGAAGAGGTAAAGGTGAGGGAGTGGAAGAGGTAAAGGTGAGCAAGTGGAAGAGGTAAAGATATACATGTAGGGTATCTATGAGAAAAGGACTAACAGCAATAATAATGGAGGCTAGAAGTCCTTCCTATTTTGTTCTGTTAAGGGGAAAGTTACCCAGAATTCCCACTCCCACAATACCTCCCCACCTTAGACCATGAAAAGATGAAATGAAATCGATGTCGTTACTATCCAAACGGACAGACAGACAAACAGACACAGACACAGACACGCACACACACACATACACACACACACACATGCACACACATACAAACACACATATGTACACACATATATACATACACATGTGCACACAGGCACAGATACAGACATACACACACACATACACACACACACATACACACACACACACATTGATGTTATGAATCAGTGCATATACGAATCATGACTGATAATGGCTGTGAGAATTTTGCAACTATTAATAAAAAAGGAAATTATGGAATTTTCGGCACTAACAAAAATGAGGGAAATTACCGAATTTTCGATGCGTAAAAAAAATGTGAAAAATTGTGGAATTTTCGGCGAAAAAGAAAAATGGGAAAAATTGTGGAATTTTCGGCGAAAAAGAAAAATGAGGGAATTACCGATTTTTCGGCGGGAAAGAAAAGTGAGAAAAATTGTGGAATTTTCGACGAGAAAGACAAATGAGAAAAATTGTGGAATTTTTGGCGGAAAAGAAAAATGAGAAAAATTGTGGAATTTTTGTGGATAAAGAAGAATGAAAAGTAAATATAGATGAGAAGAAATTAGAGGAGATATGATGGCGCTGTTTGACGATAGAGAGAAGTTAATGGCCATACCATTTGAATGTGGTTGTTTAGTTGACAACGTATTTGTACCGTCAGCAAGCATCTCACTCATATTGATTTTGTCTTTAAAAGGAAAGGCAAAAATGTTTAAATTCTATTGAATATGCTATAGGAATAATAAGAATTGAAGCGCAAATTTGAATATTATTATGCATTTAAATAATAAGCTATTATTAATAAATAATACTGAATGTCTTTTTTTTTCTTCTTTTTGCACTTATTTTAATTTCAAATTTCAAACTTCAAATTTATTTAGAAGTAATCGAAGTTATTTTTAATTAATTTCCATTCATTTCAAATTATTTAATTATTAGATAATTGTAGTTATAAGAATGGTAAATTGGAGGATTTTTTTTTTCATGAAATTCGCAATAAATTATCAAAAGAAAATAGACATACAAATTTTTACATAAATT